AAGTTCAACTACGGTAGAACCGGGACTCAGGCTATGCGCCTTCACCAAGAAAGTTCAACTACGGTTGAACCAAGACAGGCTATGCGCCTTCACCAAAAAGTTCAACTACGGTTGAACCGGGACTCAGGCTATGCGCCTTCACCAAAAAGTTCAACTACGGTTGAACCGGGACTCAAGCTATGCGTACGGTTGAACCGGGACTCAGGCTATGCGCCTTCACCAAGAAGTTCAACCACGGTTGAACCAAGACAGGCTATGCGCCTTCGCCAAAAAGTTCAACTACGCTTGAACCGGGACTCAGGCTATGCGCCTTCACCAAAAAGTTCAACTACGGTTGAACCAAGACAGGCTATGCGCCTTCACCAAAAAGTTCAACTACGGTTGAACCAAGACAGTCTATGCGCCTTCACCAAAAAGTTCAACTACGGTTGAACCGGGACTCTGGCTATGCGCCTTCACCAAAAAAGTTCAACTACGGTTGAACCAAGATAGGCTATGCGCCTTCGCCAAAAAGTTCAACTACGGTTGAACTGGGACTCCGGCTACGTGCCTTCACCAAAAAAGTTCAACTACGGTTGAACCAAGACAGGCTATGCGCCTTCGCCAAAAAGTTCAACTACGGTTGAACAAAGACAGGCTATGTGCCTTCGCCAAAAAGTTCAACTACGGTGGAACCGGGACTCAGGCTATGCGCCTTCGCCAAAAAGTTCAACTACGGTTGAACCGGGACTCAGGCTATGCGCCTTCACCAAAAAAGTTCAACTACGGTTGAACCAAGATAGGCTATGCGCCTTCACCAAAAAGTTCAACTACGGTTGAACCGGGACTCAAGCTATGTGCCTTCGCCACCAAATTTAACAAAGTCCAACAACAGTCGAACTGGGACTCCGGCTACGTGCCTTCGCCAATAAGTCCAACCACGGTCGAACCAAGACTCAGGCTATGTGCCTTCGCCATTAAATCCAACGAGCTCGACCTCGCTCGAACTACAAGGATGGACGCCTTCGTACTCAACTTTAGCAAGTTCAACCACAGTTGAACCGAGACTCAGGCCAAACGCCTTCATCTGTGAAAGCAAAGCCCGACCTCCAACAAATCGAAGCGCAGGATAGGCACCCTCGCCATTCAAGTAAGTTCTCCTAACTCGAATTAAGAGTCGGGCCACGTAAAGTTCGGCCCCGGTCAAACTACGAGGCCGCGTTTTTTACCATCACGACCGGTAGTTCGACCGCGTCCGAACTGGGACTAAGGCTAAGCGCCGCTATCGCCAAATAACGGCTAAGACTCTCCCGCACCGAGTCGAAAAACTAAGGCCATCACCATCAACGGTCGACCTAGATTCGACTAAGGTGAGTAAACGACTCGACGACAGTCAAGGTCGCCTACATGGCTAAGGCCACTAATTATATTATGGCTAAGGCCATCGCCGCCAACGGTCGACCTAGATTCGACTACGGTGAGTAAACGACTCGACGACAGTCGAAGTCGCCTACATGGCTAAGGCCATCAAGATTGGGGAAACGTAAAGTCCGGCCCCGGTCAAACTACAAGGCCGCGTTTCTGTCATAACGGCCGACAGTTCGACCGCGCCCGAACTGGGACTAAGGCTAAGTGCCGCTATCGCCAAGAAACGGCTCCGACTCGCTCACCCCGAGTCGAAGAAGAAGAGTAGTCAACAATTAAAAACTAACATGCCTACCAGAGTCGAAATCGAAGGCAAATCACCCCTTCGAGCGCATGCAAAGAAAAATCTAAGGGGGAAAAAGAGGAGAATACAAAACAGACACAAGGCAAATAACGGAAAGGAGATCTCAAAGTTAATTGCGGGTCTTCCCCGCTTACACCCTGCCAAGGCCGATCAATACAAGGAAAGAGAAAATAAAAAACAAGAAAAAATGCATATCTTTTTACTCGGCGCCATCCACGCCACCATCTGCACCAGTGTCAGCCTCTGGCGTCGCCGCGTCAAAAACCACAGTTGGTACGGGCCTCACGAGCCTTTTGATGCGCTCCCTCGAAAGCAGCTTCGGTCACGATGCCGGCCTCCCACAAATTCTTATATACATCATGTTGGGCCTCGGCAAAGACCCAAAGTTCACGAGCCTGGCTGGAAGAAGCGGCTTGGTCCCGTAGGCGCTGATTCTTTTCTTCCAAGGCTGTGATCCGGTCCGCCATGACTTGGGCGTCCTGCTCAAAGACACCGATCCGCTCCTCGAGACTCGCTTCTCTAAAGGCCACAGTAGCCCTCTCCAATGCCCGTTGGGACTCGTGCACGCGGATAGCTTCCGTTAATGCTCCAGCCCTCGACGAGGCATCCCTCACTTGAAGCTTCAATACTGCGACTTCACCCTCCAACGCAGTCACTTTCCCGCCCCATGCCGCAGCGGCCTCCGCCGCTTTAGCCTGGCCCTGGCGCTCACACTCAGCTGCGGCTCTCTTTACCGCCTCGAGCTCCTCATCCTTCCGGCGGAGTTGCTCCTCGAGAGCACTCGTCCTGCCAAGTGTTTGCTGCATCTGAAGCTCCCGCCTCGCCAGTTCCTCGACCAAGGCCCGGCTACGGGGATCATTCCTCAAGCGCACGTGCTACTCTCTGCACTGATCCCGGTAGCGACGATACTTCTCCAGCGCCCGCAAAAATATCCCCGAGCGGACTTTGGCTCGACGGATGCTCTCCACCTCTAACAAATAAGACTGCAAAGCAAAGACAACGATTAAGATAAAGAACAAACTAAGGCAAAGAAGAAACGAACCGACGTAATAGTACATACCCTCAAGCCCATCACGACTACTTCATTCATCAGTCTGATATCCGTAACGTCCCTCAACGATGCATTCTCGGCCTCCGAGCATAGCAGCTCAAACTGCGGCACCAAGCCACTCCCTTGGAGCAATAAGTTCAACTCTGTGGGAACCTCGACGAATCGAGAGCGCCCCTCTGCGCGCACCGCTGAATTGGTGAAGCCTTCTTGGAACATACGGACGTCGTCGGGGTTCAAGTCGGATTCGGACTCGTACTCATCTCCTACAGCATCCCCTTTATATGAAAGGCTACGGCCATCTCTATTATATGAAAGGGTCTCCAACATATGAAAGGCTATGGCCATCCCCTTTATATGAAAGGCTACGGCCATCTCTATTATATGAAAGGCTCTCCAACATATGAAAGGCTACGGCCATCGCCATTATATGAAAGGCTACGACCACCTCCAATGTATGAAAGGCTACGGCCACCCCCAATGTATGAAAGGCTACGGCCGTCTCCAACGTGTAAACGGCTAAGGCCGCCGCCGTCAATAAGTCGACCCCCTTATTCGAGTTTTTTTTAAATCACAATCGATGAAATCCGCTCATCGAGCTCGGCCGAAACACGACCTCAATAAGCGGAGGGACTAACTGTATAGGTCAGAATCTGACCTCACGGTAATTAACGGAGTTAATCTCGTCTTGAGCTAATCCATAATTAATAAGTGGTATGGCCACTTATTCATAAGAGGATTCGACTCTTGTCCGATTTAATCTACGAGGGCACGACCCATTCATTCCCCCATGGGGACGGAACCTCAGCGTGGCCACGACCATTTATTGCCAGCTCACGAAGCTCACATCTATAAATACTAAGAGTGGAAGCCCTAGAAAGGGGGCTGCTTCTTCATCACTATTCACAAAATAGAGAGAGAAGAGAAAAATATACCCATCTTATGGGAGGAGAAAACACCATTGTAAGGCTCTGAACCTCTTCAGGGAGAGGCAGACCAAACCAATATTATCAATAAAAGTTGTTAAGATTTCTTCCCCTAACCTTGAGTACTTATTTTCATGTTCTTCGCTTGGTCCGATGGATTATTACGATTTGCTATGATTTTTCCGTAACTTATTTGTATTGTTTTGCACTCATAAAGCACATGATAACTTTTGAGCAAACAGATAAGTTAATAAGTTATACCATAATTTTAGTAATACTTTTAATCAAATACGGAAAAAATTTAATCTCAAAATTTATATCGGGATAACTCACCTAATCGTTTGAACCAAACGGCCCCTAAAGACTTGCTTCCATTGGTTACTGTAGGCTGCAGTTATTATAAAGGCTGTAACTATGATTAATTACGTGAGATGTGCTGTACCGTGGTCCCAAATACTACTCTCTAAATCTAACTTTCTTCTGAATTTCTTTAATTTTTAGTTTTCCTTTTGTCTTCTATTTTCTGCATTTGGACATAAATTTAGTTGAAACTTAAAGGGAAAAAAATTAAAGTTGTATTGAAAAATAACTTTTGAAAATTAAAGTTGTGGTTGGACATAACATTTTAATAAGATATAAAATGCTTATGACTTTCATTAATTTTTTGTTTTCCTTTTATCTTCTGTTTTTGATTTTTTTTAGCTAGCATTTTGAACATAAATTTGGTTGAAACTTAAAAAAAAAATTGAATTTATGTTGAAAAATACTTTTTGGAAGTTGAAGTTGTGGTTGAACATTATCAAAATCCGGCAATGAAACAGTGATCTGCCTTCAACTGAGCTTTGGACACGTTGAGCTTCAATGGTAGAAGAGCTTAGCTCTCACGCCATGAAAATTCAGAGAAAGGTCGGAGAAGAAGATATAGAGAGAGAGCAATGAACATTCTAGAAAATCATTTAATTCAATTCATACAAGTGAGCAATTGAGTGGAGCTCCTCCCACTATATACACGGAGGCAATAACCAAGCCAGCTAACTGACAACTGTCACTATTCCTAACTAACCACTCTAACCACTAAGTCAACTAACTAGCTAATGACCTAGGCTAAGTAATGAAAAATAGATATAATTAATCTTAGTACCCCCCCCCCCCCCCTCAAGTTGGAGATATGGTAAACACGCCAACTTGCCCAATGTGGCACTATGTTTGATTCCAGTTAAAGCTTTGGTTAGAATGTCGGCTAGTTGACTGTCTGTCCTAATATGATGAAGCGAAACTAGTCCTGCTTGTAATTGATCACGCACAAAATGATAGTCCACTTCTATGTGCTTGGTTCTTTCGTGGAAGACTGGATTCTTGGCAATGTGAAGTGCAGATTGGCTATCACATAACACTGAAATAGGCATTGGATAAGGGACAATCAGATCTTCAAACAGTCTGCTCAACCATACCAATTCCCCCACTACTTTCCTTAAGGCCCTGTACTCTGCTTCTGTAGAAGACAATGATATAGTTTCCTGTTTCTTAGACTTCCAGCTGATAGGGTTATTGCTTAGAAGTACCAAATAACCTGTAATGGATCTCCTAGAATCTGGGTAGGCTGCCCAATCAAAGTCACAGTAGGCTTTGACTATGCAATCTGCATCCTTAGACATGAAGATCCCTAGGGTAGGATCATTTCTCAAGTACCTGAGCATATGAAATGCTGCTTTCAAATGAGGTTCTCTGGGATCTTGCATGAACTGACTCAAGTGTTGAACACTATATGCAATATCCAGCCTAGTATTGGTTAGGAAATTTAGTTTCCCCACCAGCTTTCTATCGTAAGTAGGATCTTGTAGGATGGTGCTTTCTTTGGCCTTTAGCTTTATGGTAGGATCCAAGGGAGAAGAACAAGGTTTGTAATCTAGGAAATTGTACTCTTTCAGCATGTCCAATACAAATTTCCTTTGAGAGATTATGACACCAACATCTTTGTACATCACCTCTAGTCTCAGAAAATAATGCAGTTGGCCAAGGTCTTTGATCCTAAACTGCTCATTCAAGAAGTCCTTCAATTGTATGATCTCTTCCTGATCACTCCTAGTAAGCAGCACATCATCTACACATACTGCAACATATACTGAGGTGTTTCCATCTTTCTTATAGAAAAGCGAGTAGTCATTCATGGAATGTGTATATCCTTTTGAACATAAAGCTTCAGTCAGTTTTGCATACCACTATCGACTGGTATGTTTTAGGCCATAGAGAGATTTGTTTAACTTGTAGACTAGTGTTGGCTTATCCACAACAAGTCCAGGTGGAACTTGCATATACACTTCCTCATTAAGGTCCCCATGGAGGAAGGCATTGTTTACATCTAGCTGAGATATACACCACCCTTTCTTCACTGTTGTAGCTATCAGTGCTCTTACTGTTGTCATTTTTACTACTGGTGAGAATGTTTCTGTGTAGTCTGAGTATATCCTTTGACAACCAACCTGGCTTTGAATCTTTCTATACTACCATCAGCTTTATGCTTCACCTTATAAACCCACTTGCACACTATTTCTTGCTTCCCAGGTGGCAGAGGTACTAAATACCAAGTGTTATTAGAGTATAGAGCTTTAAAGTCTTGTGTCATTGCAGCTTGCCATGCAGGATCAATAGCTGCCTCCTCATATGATTATGGTTCCCTGTCATGACAAATATTTCTCATAAGAACTTGACTATCAGGAGTTAATAGATCATAGGTAACATGGTGGTTTATAGAGAACAAGGCATTAAGAGAATTAGGATTTGGTTTTAAGTAGAGAATGCCCATAGTCCTGTAAATAACTAGGTGCTTTATGTGTCCTTAAGGACTGCCTCAGCGTCATGGATTCTACATGGGGTTGTTCAATGTGATTCTGTGGTGAAAGGTTATTGGAGAATTAGGCATCATAGAAGATGATGAGGAGTGATCATGTGCAAGTGACATGAGATTGGTTGTGCTGTCAGAATGACTCCCTTGATCAATCAAGGCTTCAGATGTTTGTTGTGTGATATTTGTATTGTCAGAAGATTGCTCAGATAGAGGTTCAATAAAAGGAATTGAATGAGGAACACATGGTTGGGAAGATGCATTCATATTGGTTGCAAATGGAAAAATGGATTCATTGAAGACTAAATCTCTAGAGATAGTGATTCTTCTAGTGGCTAGACTTAAAACCTTGTATCTCTTTGTGTTGTAAGGGTAGCCAACAAATACATGTGGTGTTGTTCTGGGATCAAACTTGTCTCTATGAGGTTTAGATACAGTAGCATAACACATGCAGCCAAAGCTCTTTAGATGAGAATACTTTGGCTTCCTTTTATATAACAATTCATATGGAGTTTGGTTGTTAATAGAGGTGGAAGGAAATCTGTTTATGTTATAGGTAGCACAGAGTACATATTCACCCGAATATCTTAGGGGCAGTTTGGATTGAAAAAGGAGTGCTCTGGCAGTTTCAAGGAGATACTTGTGTTTTCTTTCCACCACACCATTCTGTTGTGGGGTATAGGGACAAGTTCTTTGGTGGATGATACCCTTAGATTAAAATAGGATATTTGTTTCTGCATTGGTGAACTCTAGTCCATTATCTTTTCTCATAGCTTTTACAGTTACTCCACACTGATTTTCCACCAAACTAATGAATCCCTTAAGTACTTGGAGGATATTGCTTTTACTAGATAAAATATGAGTCCAAGTGGACCTACTGAAATCATCTACAATAGTCATGAAATACTTGTATTTATCATGTGTGGGCACATGGTATGGTTCCCACAAATCATCATGTAAGAGTTCAAAATTTTATTGGTTGTGTTGGTTTTCTGGGGGAATGGGAGCCTTTCCTGTCTGGCCATTGGACAGATGGGGCAATTGAAAGGTTGTTTGGAAGAAAAGGTCACGGGAATGGAGGAAATTTTTTCATCTTTACAAAGGGAACATGTTCAAGTCTGTTATCCATAGAACATCTACACTGTCTCCAACACACAGATGAGAAAAAGTACTAGGAGTTCTAGAAGATGAATTCACAAAAGAAAATTGTTCTTCAGTACCTACACTTGAACTATTTACAACTGGACAAGAAGGAACAAACTTATTGACATGTAATGGCATATCTACAATAGAATGAGATGGACATTGTGTGTTACAAGTGCAACAAGTGATAATGGTGGACAAGTAATAATTGGTCTTTACTCCAAGGTTTGTACTGTTGTTCTTCAAGCAGCTTGGGCACAAGATGTACATCCCATCTTTGACTCTACCAATCACTAGAGGCATCTTCATAGAAGGGGCCTGCAGTATGCAACAATGTTTAATGAAGGCAACAAAACAACTGAGATGAGAGGTGAGGGAGTGAATAGAGATTAAATTGTATCTAAAGGAAGGGAAAAGCATTACCCTATTTAGAGTGATCTTAGGAGTAAGCACAACATTACTAATCTCAGTCACCTTGACTTTATAACCATTTGGAAATATGACAAGTAAAGGATAAGGTAAAGTTATTATGTTGGTTAGCAAGGATCTGTTAAACGTCATATTGTTTGATGCCCCTGAATCTATAATCCATGAGTCAGTTTTGTTTTTAAAACATTCACATGAGAGTTTACCAAAGTCAATAGAAGAAGTGCAGGCTATGATACCTGCAAAGTTTGCTGCTCCAGATGGAATGTTGGCATTGTTTGTGTAGTCTCTTCCTCCTCCTGGATGAAATTGCTGTAGCAGGTTCACTAATTGACTGTATTCTTCCTTGGTGAGGCTTACATTCTGAGCAGTGCAGCTCTCATTATCAGCATGTTGAGTATCTATAGCTGCTACATATGCATTAGCCATTCCCCTATTGAACCTGGTATTCTAGTTCACATTTGGATTGTTCCCATGGTTAAAGTTCTGTCTTGGACTATGACTGAAGTTGGAATCTTGATTGTAACTTGTATTCTGATTTTGATTTTGATTTAGACCTTGAGGATAGCCATGGAGTTTGTAGCACTTCTCTTTTGTGTGCCCTGGTCTTTTGCAATAGTTACAGAAAGGTCTGTTCCTGTTGTTGTGAGTGTTGTTGGGAGAATAATTTGTTTTGAATGATCCTGTTGTGCTTGTGTTAACATTTAGGGCCGATGAATCAAGAGCCAAGCGGTTATGAGGTTTGATTTCTCTCTGTCTTTCCTCTTGAATCAGTAATGAGAAAGCTTGTGCAATTTTAGGAAGATGATTCATCATGAGGATACTACGTCGAACTACAATGTACGTTTCATTCAATCCCATAAGGAATTGTATTAACCTCATGTCCTGTTCTGCTTTGTGCATACTTTCCTTAGCTCCACATGTGCAATTTCAGGTACAATGAGATCTACCAAGCAGAGTGGTGAGTTCTTCCCACAACTTTATCATTTTAGTGTAATAACTAGTAATATCAAGGGCTCCTAGGGACAAATCATTGATCTCCTTTTGGATCTGGTATAATTTTGTTTCATTAATTTGATCATAACGATCTTCAAGCTCTTTCCACAATTCGACTGCATCTGTCATATACTCAACACTGTCTGCGATTTCCTTTGCCAAGGAATTCAAAATCCATGAAGTCACCATATCATCACACCTCTCCCACAATCGATAGTTTGAGGAGTCTGGTTTTGGTCTTTTGCAATCCCCATCGACGAAGCCCAGTTTGTTCTTCAGTGATAGGGCTCTCATCACACCTCTTCTCCATGAACGATAACCAAAAGCAACAAATAGAACATGAACTAATGCTGCTTCGGATTATCAGAAGGATGCATATAAAAAGGACTACTCGTGTCAATAGTTGGCTGATTAGAGGATTCAGCCATGGTCGGTGTAGACTGCTGTTGATACCCAATTTTTCCTTGTATATTTTTAATATGAAAAATACTTTCAAAATAGCCTGTATACGCATATATAAGCAGGTCCCAAGGTTTTATTATTTTTTCGGAATTTTCAAAGATTTTTAAATCAATTTATGGCCCTATTTGTATCAAGAAAACCCAATAATTATCCCCAAAATTATCATTTTGGTGATTTATTTATTGGACTCTTATATTTATACTAAAATATAGCTAAAATAATTTTTTTTCATATTTTTATAAATTTATTTAGTATTTTTAAAGGCTAAATTGCATATAATTGCAATATTAGCCTCTTTTAAGTTTTAATTGTGTTTGTATTTATAAAATTGACTCCAATATTTTTAATTTAATAATTATGTATATTAATCATTTTAGTACCTTTAATTTATTTTCAGAAATTATTCTACTATGTTTTATAAAATAAACAAGAAAAAAATGGCTATTTAAATATTAGCCCATTTTCTTTTCAATTTTAGCCTGATTTGGCACCCCAATTAAACCCAATTCTAAAATCCAATTACCCAGCCCAAATCCTAATCTAGCCGACCCACGACCCTTTAAATAACCCGCCCGGATCCCACATTCAATCCAGGCCGTTGATCAAAATGATCAACAGCCACCCTTTAATCTTTCATTTTTAATTTCCCATTACCCCCCCCCCCCCAAACCCTAACCATTTCTCACCAGTAGACGCCTTTGAATCCCCCCTCTTTCTAATTCTCTCTCAAACTCCCTCTCAAACCCTAGCCGCCATCTTCAACCACCACCCAAATCGCCTGAATCCATGGCTTCCAAAGCTATTAAAGGCCTGTACCTGCCTCCTATGACTCCTACATGCTCGATTATCATGGTTTCAAGGCCAGACCTTGAAGAAGCTTGGTTCAGACCTCAGGTGTTTTCAGTTCTATGGCTGTCTCCGGTCATCTCCGACCTTGCTCCGGCCAACCATGGCTATTCAAGCCTGCTCTTGGTTTCTCTTGCTTAGACCAATGACCTTCCAAGCCTTTCTCACCATCTGGGTTATTCTGAAACCCTAACCTTCGAGGTTCTTCTGATTCTTTTAGATACGTTGTAGATCTGTGTTTTCTGTAAGCTCCTAAATATTTTCTCATGGTTTCTTTCAAAACTCTACTTTCAGAACCTTTGTCTTTTCTGATTTAGGGTTTTAGTTACTTTATTTCGAAGCTCTTCTGATTTTTTAAACATGTCTATTGTGTTTCTTACGGTGTTCTTCTACTGTGTTCTTCTACTGTGTTTCTTATGTTGCTCTTCTACTGTGTTTCTTTATGTTGTTCTTCTACTGGAATATGCATGTTAAAAGTCTTAGTTCCTTTTTGAGATTTCTGAACTTATTTCGTTAGTATTTCTGCCTGATTTACTTGTTTTCATCTCTATACTCGATTGACGAGGAAAGCCCTAAATTTGGGGATTTATTCGAGTTTTAAGACTATTTGCTATGTGATTTGCTTGTTCTTCATCTCTGAACTTGTTTGGTTTCAAAGCCCTAATTTCTTTGAACCTATTCGAGTTTCTGAAAGTTGTTTCATCTACTGCTCGATTGAATTTCTGAATCTTTTGTTTCTTTATATGATTCTAACTTCCTGCTAAACTCTATAAGGTCTTTTACTTGACCCTTTGGCATGCTATTTGATACTTCTCTTCTCTGTTACCGAGTAACTGAAATCGACCTATATGACTACCTGTGTTTGCTACTATATGATGTTTCTCTTTGTCCTAAATTCAGCCTTGCCTGCTTAGTACTTATATACTCTTTTATATGCTGAGATGACCTTCAATTTGGGACTGATTTGACCTCCTTGTGCAAGTCTGATTAATTCTTTCCTTGTTTTACTGATTTCCCTGATTCTTGGGTTGATTTGAGAACTTTCCCTTAACCTTTCGATTCTCCTAGTTCTGACTTGGTTTATTTATAATTTCAAATCCCTGACTCCTTGATTCACTACGTACTGGTAGGTTTATTCTATTTCTTACCTTATTTGGTTAACCGTGTATTTCAAAGATTCTTCATTAATTCTTTCCTTAATTAAAACTCCTATATATTTACCCCTAATTGCCTACTTTGCACAAGGTGCTTACTTGATTTCTTTCCTTAGAGGTTTTCTGCCCATTACCGTTTAAGTTTAAACTCCTTAATTAAAGGAAGTTCTTATACTGATTGATTTTTAATTGATACACAGTTCCATAATTATTTTCTTGCCTTATTTTCTGCCTGTTTTCACACTATAAATACCTGGCTTTTGCATTAACACACACGAGCACTCTTAGTTTCTGAATTCTCACTCACACTCAAAAGCTATTCTCTTTTGTTACTTGTACTGTGGCATGCCTTCAAGTCCTGCTACTTGATTTTACTGTATTTTGCTCTTTGAAACTGGTATGTTCTGATTAAGATTTCCAGCAATCACAACAATGTGTTTACTTAATCCTCTTACCCCCTTGTCTGCCTACTATTTGTGTTTAGTTCAGCACTTATTTAGCATGTTGTAGTTTCCTTCTGCCTGTTCTATATCTACTATGCATCCTAAATGTGTTTAATACTAATGGTTTATTTGAGGCATGACAGTATTAAGTATTACTGTCTATGACTCAAACTTGATTCCCCTGGAATCATAACCTCTATGTCACCATCATATGTTGTGCATTCTCGTTGATTTTGTGAGCATAACAACACTCCCTATTGCTGTGCATGCCCAAAATTAGCTAATGCCTAAGTACATAGGCTTTTTGCAATCCCCAATCCCTGAACTCCTTTATGTGAAATCCTCAATCCTGTAACTATTTCCCAGCACCTCTTCCCCTCTTCTTTACTCTTTAAAACTCTGTTTCTTCACTTGCACTCTCTCTTAGACTTTAAGTTCTGCCCCCGTCTTGTGAACCTTGCCTTGGGACCATTTGAGCTCCCTCTGAACTTGGACACTTGAGGGCTGGCGCTTCCACACTGCATTGGTCCCTATTCTGGTGATACAATTTGGGTGTGAGCACTGCCCGCAGTCCCATTGAGGCTCTTAGGGAACTCTGACACACTCAAATTGGAGAAAGGCTTTGGATCGATGGTCTTTGAGTTGGTCTATCTCATAATTCAGACATGAAGTCAGAATCAGGCTTTCCTCTGGTTGTATTTTTTTACTTTTTCTGATGTAATTTTATTCATTCTGGCTTGTAATAAGTTGTAATAAACACTTGGGGCTGGCTAGTGGAAAAAAGGTGGGTAACTATGCATGCAAAGGGTAGAAATCATGCCTATAGGTCTATTCTAATTTTGCATACTCAATACATATAGAAATCATGCCTATAGGTCTAGTCTAATTCTGCATACTCAATACATATAGAAATCATGCCTATAGGATTGTTACAATTCTGCATATTCAACTCCGCCTAGAAATCATGCCTATAGGATTGTTCCAACGCCATTCAAACTGCATTTAGATACCATGTCTATAAGGTTCGATTTCTGCATTTAGATACCATGTTTATAAGTTTTAAAACAAGTTCTGTATCTAGAAACCACGTCTATAAGTGTCTAAAATCAGCAACGTGTAGAAAACATGCCTATAGGAGTTTCTAAATGAATCTGATTGGCTTCACCCATTGCTAGACGTAAAAATCAGTAATATATATACTATCACCTGCAGAACCTGTAATCAATTTGTTAGTTCTGCCTCTCTTTTTGATAATATGAGTCCTTTACTTAATCCAAAGTTTAGCCAGCATCCCTATAGGATCCTAAATAATTCATTTCGAGTTTTACTGTCTTATCACCTTCTAAAATCAGTAGATATCATGTCTATAGGACCCCGTCTTAACACTTAGGCAAGCCTTAAGGTAATAACTATAACTTAATCTGTTTCTATTAATAATTACAACCAGCAGGCAGGCCTGATTCGGGCTTCTTATCTGAATTGTGTAATAAACCAGTCTGCCCCAACTTTTAAAACTCCCTCGTCTTTAATGCTAATCAGACTTAACCAGTATGTGCAAGACATGCTATTATGTGCTTTTCTGTTCAAGGAGGTATAACCGAGCCTTGTATGTTTATATGTCTTCCCAAATATGCAGAATGTGTTTTGTATGTCGCCTAGAATTTTACCTTTGAATCCCCAAATAAGCCTAATATCCCTCCCTTTAGGATTAGTAGTCCTAAGTGCCTCCGGGACTGATAGGAACGGGACGGGTAATAGCATGCAATAAGTAATCGAGACCAATCCGCGCTTTAAATACCTTAATGGGGTGGGAATGGTAGATATGGATATGATGATCACGCGATAATGTCACGTGTAGCCCCTCCTTGAGGAGTGATTACCAGACATTGTGTGGGGTGATCCATATTTTTAATAAACCTAGGACTCCCCCTTTCTTTTATTCTTTACTCTTTTAGCATTGTAATTCTTTATTTTAAAAATCAGCTTTTCTAATTGACTTTTTAATCCTGTCTACTTTCAAACCTTTATGTGTTGAAATCCCCTCTTATTTGAGCCTTATTTTCTTATATGTTGATTGTACCCAAATTCACAATAATTGTCTGGTCGGGAACCACACTAGTGGATTCTGAGGGGTGCCTAACACCTTCCCCTTTGAATAATTTCAAGCCCTTACCCTATCTCTGGTTATTCAAATCAAAAATTCTATTGGTATCCTAATGCACCCTAATCATTAGGTGGCGACTCTTCAAACCCAGTTCCCAAAAGGAATGAGTTGTCCCTCCAAATGTCATAAACCCGATTTTGCGAGAAAAAGGGGGCGCGACAACTGCTCATCGTCTCCGACGGTAACCATCTCGTATAAGATACGAATTTCAGCTAATCAAACAATAAAGGATTGTAACTACAGATCTAGGACTCTGACAGAGAATTCCAAAAGCTATGACTTAAATTGATGAGAAGAGAGTCTGCATACGTGCGATCAAAATTGAAATCGAAGCTAATGAATTTAGATCTAATAATTTT